CAACTTCTAACTAACTAAATCAGTTCCTCGCAGGCTTAAATGGGTCAACTTAATAGCTTCTCCGTGCTCTTCAGATGATGCTGCTTTAAATGAGACCAAAAACAAACCTGAAGGTTCAATATCATTATTTTTAAAATGCGATTTACTGTATGTTCAAGTGCATTTACATCTATTTTTACAAGACCTTTTTTAGTATTCCATGCTGAAAAGAGAAGAAAAATAAAACACGTGTGACACCCGAAGAAGGCTCCACAGCAGAAGCATGGAATAAACCTTTACTTGTTCATTTGCCGCCTACGCATGCTGACACAGCTACTGTACCTACCTGAACTACTTTTTTTAGTATTACCTCTAGTTTTCATCCCCTACCCGATCTTAATTACTCTAATTAGATGTTATTTGAAGTCAAATTATCTGCTTAAGTTGTAATCAATTATAACCTGACTCTGGAGGACTGACCTCTCCCATATGTTATCTAAAGTATTAATTTTAGTATCCAAGTATGTTACTTTTTATCTAAATTACAGAATGTGCTTTCAGAATGTTTTTCATTATATTTACATGTATCTTGTTTCTGAAATCATTGCTGGTTCACACAGGCACAGTGGCAATAATTTTGTCAGAAGTAATGTTTTTTGATAATAACGAATGCTTCAAAGAATAACAAGAACTTCAATGTCCACATTCTTTTTATTTCAGTAAAATTGCAACAGCATCCTGCTCAAGAAACAGTTTTACATAGGGTTACCATACTTCCAGATGGAATTTTTCCTTTATTCTTTTCCCCATAAAGTTTTGGATTTGAAATGTTTTGTATAAATATCTACTGGTACATGCCCTCTTGAGTGAATTTTCAAATACAGTAACCGAAGATTTGATAGATAATTATAGAAACCCCTTGTCCACCCCAGTCAATGGAGTGTCCTCTTTTTTTTATTTTTGAAATATGGTAACTCCAGTGTCACATGAATGATTGCTCTGTGTGCCCTTTGTGTGTCCCGTGTATATGGTAGGTACAGTATGTGTCTGCCAGCCCTCTCTGTGCATTCTCTATTACTCTTTTCCCTCAGGGATTTTCGGAAAGGACTACATTCTTTAATGTGGGTGTATCAGAATCGGTGGTGTCAGTGGGTTTGCAAGTCCTGTGACTCCTTGTGACTAAAACCTTGTGTTCTTGTGTCATATATTACTCATCTTGCAGGAATGGGGAAAACACTCCCATTAAATAGCATTTTTAAACTTTAGGATTGCTCACTTTGGAATGGCCACTAATTGCATGTTTTGTATGGGAAATTCTCAAGGACTTCTGTTTTTCTGGTTAAAGCTGGCTCTTGAATTTGTTATTACAGAGCTGTACGGAGTTTTGCAAAGAATGGCTATTGCAATCTTATGATGTTATCTCCAATGATCAGCAACATGCATCCAATCAAAATTTCCTATCAGATTTTGCTATCAAGCAAAATCAAATTTGTTAACAAACAATGGTCATGCAGTTCTTGGTGTAGGTTTGGGAAAAAAAGTGCAAAAAGTGGCCTGTTGCTTCTGTAGATGCAATTTGCTGTGCAAATGAAATCAGCCTTTGGAGTTGAAAAGACAAAATACAGTAGGTCAATTCCAGATTCTCTAAATTTAGATGATAAAAAAGGAATTCACAGCCACAGAGATTTTAGATGTCTAGTGATCATAATCAACTGAAAATGTATTTTGAGTATGTGCAGAACATAATAAAAATCTTAAGCTGTCTCAATAAATCTATACTCTACTACCTATAGGAGAGCCTTGTGCTTTGTAAACCCTGGACTGGATCATACAGCTGTGCTGTGTGGATAATACTTGGCTTCTTTTCATCCCAGCAACTGATTCTCAGCATGTCAGTCCTCTTCCTCTCCCTCAGTCTCTCCAGCTCAGCCCCAAGGTCTCGGCGATGAAGGAGAAGATGTGTGTGTCCTCCAGGATGGCCTTGGCAGTGGGCTTCCCAGCCCCGTGCCCACTCTTGGTATCAATGCGGATGAGCAGGGGCTGGCGCTGCTTGGGGTTGGCGCCCACGCCACGCTGCAGGGTGGCGATGTACTTAAGGGAGTGCAGGGGCACCACGCGGTCATCATGGTCCGCTGTCAGCAGGAGCATGGCAGGGTACTGGAGACTGTCTGTGGGGGCCTGGGGGAGGTTGTGCAGAGGGGAGTACCTGCAGGGCATGAGCAGGGCAAGACATTAACATATTGCTTAAAGATGATGCCAATGTATATACAGTATACTGTAGTGTGCAAACAGAAGCATTGAAATCTTATACCTAAAGCAGTATTTTATTGAAATTCAGTGCTAAATAAAATTAGAACTGTCATTTTCAGGTAAGCATACTGTCGTAAAAATACTTCACACAATTAATTAACAAATAACATTGTTCTATCCATTCACTTTTTAACTACTTCATCCAATTCCAGTTTGCGAGGAAGCTGGATCCTATCCCAGCAAGCAACGGGCACAAGGCAGGATACACCAGTCCATCACAGGGCACACACAGACACAGACACACTCACTTTGGGGCTAGTTGTCCAAGAAGCCAATTAACACACACGTACAGTATGTCTACAGATTGTGGGATTAAACCTGAGCACCAGGAAGAAACCCATGTGAACACAGAGAAAACATACAAAGACCACATAGATAATGTAACAGACCAGGTCCAGAATTGAACCCAGGGCCCCAGCACTGTGTAGCAGCAATGCTAATTAGTATCACCATGCTACTGTGCCACCCTAAATAACATTATTGTAGATTCTAATCGCTAATACTATTTTTTTCAACAATTGTGATTATCTATACTGGTTGAATATTTAAAATGAGAAGTTTTGAGCTCAGTAGTCACTGCAGCCCACAGTTCCACCCTTCAGGAACAATCCATCAAATTAAAAAACTGAATCCACTTCTACTCCCTATATTACTGTCTATATTAGATGAAGTAGAATGAGAACCTGATTTAATTCAGGGAAAATGTTTATTGCCCTTCTAAACACGTAATTATTGTACACTGTTAAAAGCAGAGTGCTGTAAAGCACAGAGCTCAGTCTTGAGTTCAGTTTATTTGTCATATGCACAAGGGCAATGAAATGCTAATTTGCATGTAAGCTCTGATACAGCAACATTAAGGAAACACCAAAACATAAACACAGAACAGCAGCAACAACATACAACTTTAAAAGAAGTCAGACAAGCAGTGTGAGAAGTCAGATAAACAGTATACGTTTATTTTATATGCATGCAACAATGTATTTATAACCATATATTCTTCAATGTTAATGTCAATGAAAATAAACATTTTGAAACAGTGCTAAAAGGAAGGCAGACCCATCGAAAGCAGCCATTATACTTAAGGCGGAACATACTTGATGAGCCAGTCAAACTCCTCTTTTTTGTCAGAGCAGCCATAGTCAGTGGTCCATGCGTGGCCGATGGTGAACTTGTGGAACTTCAGCATGTCCATCACACCCACCTCCGCCACAGCACAGCCAAACAGGTCTGGCTGCTGGTTCACACAGGCCGCTGACACGAGCAGAAGAACACACAGAGTGCTCTCAGTGGTGCTCGACACACATACAAATGTATTTAAAAAGAAATGCTGTACATGCACACATTGACCCTTTTTAATTGTTTACACTCAGTCCTATTCTAAGCAATTTTCTATTTTAAGCATCATTTTATATTTGCTTTCATTTCCTTGAACTTTCCTTGAACTTCCTTGAAATTTGTAATTGACATCAACAATTGGTATTGAGATTGAAATTGGTATCAATTTCAGAGATTGAGAACTTCCCTCATTCCGTTGTGTCACTCTGTATGTAACCAATTGGACCTCTGGAGAAACAAGAGATACTCACTTTGGGAGTCTCTGACACTTTATCATTCCCATTTGTCTGTTCATCATAACTTGATCACATATTAATTGCAGTTCAATCAGAATTAAGGAAGCACACTCTTAAAAGCAAACCCAGGAGGTGTTGCTTGAAAATGAGGCTGACAATATGGACAATCCAGCACCATTTGAAAAAGCAGCCCAATTCATTCTTGCTTGACTTTCAGGGGGATGCTCTAGATCCTGCAGTATGATACATTTCACAACACAATAAAAAGAAGAGCAACAAACACCTTCAGTACATATCTAGAAGCAAAACTCCGTCAGTCAGCCAGTCCCAATACATTTGCTAGTTGTTCATTTAATATCAGAGTGCTTTCAAAAATACTTGCTCCAAGATTTAAAAGATCATAAAATGGAATTTTGTTCAATGCCAGAAAGTAGTACTACTGGTCTTGAGAGGTGAATTAGGAACATGAGGTAGCAGACTCAGAAGTTCTTGAAACTTCTCCTTTCTTACCTACAAGAAGACCTCCATTGGAGGCTCCATTGATGGCCAGTTTTTCGGGTGTAGTGTAGCCTTCTTTGATCAGGTACTTGGCTGCCCACTGGAAATCATCAAAGCAGTTCTGCTTGTTCCCAAGGCTCCCAGCTGCACAGGGAACACCAGGCAAAAGGCAGGCAATCAAATAATTACAGGAAGATCCATCATCATGACTAACTTCAAGAAACATGCTGAGGCAGTGATTGTGTTTTCCAGTTGGTTTTTGATTTAACTGCAGTAATTAATAACTGAACTATGAACAATGTGGTCAGTTGCTGTAATCGACATACTGTACATACTTGCTCTACCTCAAGATGTACCAGGCATCTCAACAAAACTGGACTCAAGTCTGTTAAACCTTACATTTGAAGTACATAGATGTAATGTTTTCACATCAAAGATTTCCACCACGGGCAATTACTCTACAATCTACAGTAGCAATGGAAGTACTATTGAATAGGAAATGTGAGCTTTCACTCTAACCCCACTTCCTAAACAGTCTCACAGCACTATATAGTAAATTATAAAGTTAGTAACTTTTAGTAAACTAAACATATAGTATAGTAAAGTTATCACTTTAAAATCTGATAGCCTTCTCCTGGAGCTATATCAGCAAACCTTTTATTTTCTTCATTAAATGTGATCTCCACCAATATTAAAAAATACTATAATCCTCAAATGTAAAACTAACCAAAAACAAATCAGTAGTTAAACTTCCAGTTTTTTTTTAAAAAAAAAACAATAAAATGTGACTCCACTTAGGCTATTTTTTTTTGTTACTGCCAGCTCAAAGCCTTCCTCAGAAATATCCAGGTAACATTTTCTGCTACATCAAGCCTCAAAGTACCCTGTGACTCGTTCAATCTCTAGACAATGTAAAATGAATATATAAATAGGACAGCTAAGCCTAAATAATGACACACCTTATTACACTGCATTCATTTTCCAATGAAATTCATAGATCAACAATTGTTTGTTACGGCTCAGATTAGAAAGTCTGGCATGATACTGCATCAGCAGCATTCTCGAACAGTCTGTTCAATCATTATCAAATATGTCAGGGCTAAAAAGTGACTGTGGAAGACAAGTAAAGATCATATGGTGGCAATGTTTCCCAAACAGTTTGTCACCTTTTTCTATTGCCCCAGACACTCATCCTAGATCTGTATTTATCCCATGGCCATGTGTTGGCATACCTTTGTGCCAGGTCTGTCCATATTCTCCTCCACCTCGGATGTTTGCAACAGCCAGGATGCCACCTAGATGCCTCACAAATAGCAGGTAGGCCACACTGCAACATAGTATTGGCAACAGATTGGCAATATCGTCGGTAGTGCAGGATCAGCATAGTGTACTGTATATTTATCCATATTCAACCAAGAACATTTATATCAAAGCTCTACAGAGAATGTCTGATTATAGCCAAAAAGAAAATGAAAAAAAGACATTTCTAGATGTGATTGGTACCACTCTAGTCTTGGGGTTCTGGTGTGTCTTCAAATTTTCTACTGTACAGTAGAAATAACTAGCTGATTTAAGTCATTAAGAGGCTCGTTCTTGATTGTACCATGATTTTTCTGCTTTTTTAATACATATTGTCTGTGTCCACAATTAGCATTGTAGATGGACGTACTGGGTTCAAGTTAATTTGCCATCCTTTTCAGTCTATTATATCATTAGTCTATATACAGTATAGAATATATCAATTTATAGACATTTCAAGTCTATAAGGGGGCTTCTCAAATCTTCAGTCTCAAATCAAATCCTCTCAAATTTTGATAACACCAGCTTCTTATTTGCTATATTCATCCTAATAATTATGTAACAGTGTAGATTGGAAGGACAACAAATTTTGTAGCCCCTTTCTGTAGTATCAAAACTACAGAGATGACTCATGAAAAAGAACACTTCAAAGTTTTGCTTTTCAATTGAGGTAAGGATCAGGGGATGGTCTGTGTGAATATTGCACCTTAACAGGACCAGAATTGTACAGACAGCATATGCCAAACCTTTGTCATGATTTCATTGCTAGCTGTTAATAGCTGCTGTAGGGATCTATTTTGAGGGCTCTCATTTATTCAATGGCAAATGTTCTCCATAACAGGGATAGTCTATCCACTTGACAAATTCATCCATAACAAAGTGGTGTCTGATATGATATTATGCATTGTCCATCAGCTGTGATCAAGCGAGATCCCCAACCCTGCCGATTGTTTCAACACGTGGAAAAGAAACTGTTCCTTCAACTTAGCAAAACAGTTTACTGACTTGTAGTAGGGCTGGATGGAGTTGTCAAAACCGCCATATCCATAGAGAAAAACAGGGTGAGATCCATCACGCTGGAGCCCTTTTGCATGCACCAGGAACATGGGAATCTTTGTGCCATCTTTACTGGGATAGAAGACCTGCAACAGTGCACGATATTTTCAGTTTGAATCTACTTCACTTACTGTAAATGCACTCACATTTGATTTTAATGCTATCCAAGTGCTCTGGGGTGCCTCAGAGTGCAAGGCGCTCAACACAGTGAAATGTTTTACAAGGTGCTGGACTACAGTGTACCTGTACGGTTTCATAGTCGGAGGGCTTGATGCCTTTCACCTCCACCTGTCTGAAGACAGTGGGCTCAGGAGAGTCAGAGGTCAGGTCACAGTGGTAGATAATTCCTAGAGGGCAGAAGTAGACAGATCGGTAAGAGGCACCAGAACAGGAGCAAAAAAAAAAGGAGGAGGCAGCACTTCCTCCTACATAGAGCTTTAATCAGAAAAACCCAAAAAAAGAAGATGGCTTTCACATTGCTTTGCACCATTGAAAATCTTCATTGTTTTCTTGAAGTACTTCAAAACCTCAAGGGCACTGAGAGTGCACAAAGAATCAATTCCCCCCAAAATTACCAGGAATCCAAAAAATTTAAATAGTTGTTTTTTCTTATGTCAATGGTACTTTTGTGAATGTATATTTATACAGCAAGTAATTAAAACTATATAGAAATATGCACATATTTTTGTGCATGTTGTTGCAGAGTTTAGTAATGAGTAAGACCAGCATGTGTTAATGCAATTATTTTGGGATACTTTATAATATTTGTGCTGTTCATTGTTGACCTGACCTGACCTGATTAATGGGTGGTTAATATGAATAAGTCTTTTTCCACTATGCTATGGGATAATTCTATTTCACAGAACAGTACTTGGAGATAGAAGGAAGGGAGGAAGTGCAGAAAACTGATCTAGCTGGATATATAGCTGGTTTTGTGTGGTACCAAAGAACTGCAGTTACCAAATAACTGCTTCTCTCATTCTACAGCTATTAAAACTTTTAATGTTGGGAAAAAGCCCTTCTTGTTACAGTTCCATCCAAATTGTAAGTAATGTATTTATTATCAAATTATCTGGTTTATTTCAACACACATATCCCGGTTTGAAAAGAAAAGGATTTCTAGATATGGTGTCTTGAAACTAAATCAAGAAAAGCTTTAGAAGACGTATGAACTCATTTAAACCAGGCAATTATCGGATTTCACTAGGAGCTCAGGCTGCAACTGACTTTGACATCCCTGCCTGTCAATAACTGTCCAGTTGGGGGCGCTGAGCTCAAGTCTGAAGTGAGGGCTGTACCTGGGGTAGTGAAGGATGTGAATTTGTAGAAGACGTCCGTGTGCTTCTTTCTGCAGCTCAGTCCCACCACGGTGCCAACATCCAAGGGCAAGTTTTTTAGGAATCGCCCGCTCTTCAGCTCGTACAGCTGGAGCACGTCCTTGACGTCATGGATGTAGTTCACCAGCAGGAAGCGGATGTTCACACAGGCCACAAACCCTGGGTTCGAGAGCAGACAGAGGCAGAGAGAAATTAAATTCACCCTTCCTTTGTTACGTGTTAATGCTCTCCCATTCACATTTTCTCAGCACATACTGTACTGTATAGTACGATTGTGAAGGTGTGTGCTGTAAAATGAAAATAAAATCCAAAATCTTGGTCTGTGTG